AGAAAGCAACAGCTTCAAGTTGTTTCAGCATCCCACTTTTCCTGCTGTCAGCTCAGTACACAGCAAACGGTATGCAAACCTCAATACAGCATAGGTTATAATTGTAAGCATGGCAATATCTCTATCCCCATTTTCTCAGAAGCTTTCCTGTCTAAAGACACCATCCCCACATATACTGGTACATGAATCTTTCCTAGCAACCTCTTCTTATTGCTACACAGATATAAAAACTAACGTCTGATTAAAGTGAGGGAATGCATTTCAGCCATGCTCAGTTCACATGACCAAATGCTGTTACATTTCTCAGCTAACGTGTCACATTTTGTGATCATATAAGGGATACTAGTGCTTCAGTGGTCCACAGAATTGTCCGTATTTCTGCAAATCTAAACTTTAAAACTAAAAACTAAAAAATAAAATAAAAAAAGTTTAAAATTTAAACTTGAAAACAAATTTAAACTTGCTGCTGATGAATGATTATAGTTATTTTATTGTTCATATCATCCTATTCATATCACAGTGAGTATTGCTTGTAATTATTTAAGGCTGTTTGTCATTGCAGATGCATGGGTGCTGAAATACAATGAGAAGCAAACAATTTAACTGATAACAAAATTAGCTGATCATGGAAAGTCAGTCTGCTAATTATCTACAAATTGTGTCTGTCAACTCTGTTTTGCATTTCTTACGCTTCTTACTCCCCAGAAGAATAGCTTTTGCAGGGCCACGTTCTAAGGAACACACTGAACTACCCAGTAAGAGAGGTCTTATACCTTTAAGAGAGGTGTTATACCTTTGCTGTCATACAGGTTCATGTAACTTCATAAATACTTTCTGACAAATGTGCATTTTTGTAATTTACCACAGAACAGGCAATGCGCTAAAGAATTTTTATTGAAGGCTCTTTCTGAATCCTGACAAAAATTAGACTGACCCCTTCAATGTCATAACCATTGGAAAGTATCCAGTACTTAGATTTCTTAGTTGTTAAATTTTCAAAATCTCTTGTGATATTTAAGTAGTGGAGCACACATGAAGCTCAGTTTGAATTTCTTGTGGATAGAAAGTACCTTTGGACACTTTCAAAACTGCATATGGGCTTTTAAAACTGTCCTCAGCTCCTGTGATTGACAGCCAGCTCGTTTACTGAAATTCTGGTGTAGATGCAGTGAAAAAACAAACTGTGTGAGCAGTGGGACTGGTAGAACTTGGTTTTCTGTGTATCTTTCCATAGCTGTATTGGCAGCTGGGCATGGTACAGATACTGTTGTTGTAGCTAGCATTTGTATGGTTATTTAATAGCACTGCATCATCTTTTTTATATCCAGTATTGACAGGTGATTTCATACTTGTGTATGGTCAAATTAAAGGTGGCTATCAGTTTTTATATATCCTGTCAGTTTAATTATGTTTTAATTTTTGTTTTAAATAGTCGCAAGTACAATAAATGACCCATCAAAAATTAAAAATTTTTCCTTATGTCCATTTTTTAAAAGAAATTATTAAAAGTGAACATTGAGTCATTTTCCAAGAAAATACTCTCCTATGTTGAAAAATGATGATGCTTTAAAGGGATTAGCATTAAAATGTTTTAACAGTTTTTAAGTAAACGCATGGAGTTTTTCCACAAAGTTGGAACAGATTTCCAACAGAGAAGATGGAATAAGGTAAAAGGTTTAAGACTTATCATGAATTGCTTACACTTCTGGACTAAATGAAGCCTGTACACATGGAATAAACATTGTCTGAAACATAACAGTATGAATCATAGAATTGTAGAACAATTTGACTTGAATGAATGTTCAAAGATCATCTAGTCTGCCCCTTCTGCTATGGGCAGGGACATCTTTCACTACATCAGGCTGCTAAGTGAAGAAGAATGATGCTGATGCCACTTAAAATCAAGGACTTTGTGAGGAATGGGCAAAGCTTTCAGGTGCCTAAGTGCATGAAGTTGAGGGGTGACCGTATTAAAAGACCAAGACAAACATCAGGAGAAGTCAGAAGGGTAGAAATAATCAAATAGGAGATGGAAAACCAGGATGACATTTCAATAGCTGTCCAAACACACAGCAAAGAAAGGGTCCGAAGCTGTTCTACACAAACTCATAAATCTAAGAAATGTGATGGAGGACCCACAATATTGTCTAAACATAAGAGAATATAATATTGGCTAAATAGAGCTGTTGTTTAAACCATGAAGTTTGAACCATTGTTTTATGGTCAAGTCTGTATCTGCTTTTTCAAGTGAAAACTGGTCAGTGATATAAGTGGGCTGAAATATTATTTTTGCAAATTTTTCCAAGTGTGAAATACATAGCCAAAACTATAGTCCTGATTAAGGGAACTGAACAGCTCTGCTGATCTCAAGAACTATACAGGATGTGACCTACTCAATACCATGTGACTGAGCTCTGATGCACTATCACAATGTCAGAAAGTAAATAATAATACATGTCTGATCTTAGATACAAGATAAACTCAGTGAGCCATGCTCTTGGACTGACATTAATCTCTGCAGGAGGCACCAATGGAAAGTGTTAATAAGAATAAACTGGAAAGTAAACCATACTAAAAAAAGAACCATCTGCAAAAGAGAAACTCTCCAGAGAAACCTTCCAGACTGGAAATGAGGGGAGCTTTGCCAGGTGTGGGAGTGCAGAGGAGCCTTGGAGTGCTGCATGCAACTGCATCTGTGTCTATGTTTAGTGAGTACTTGTTTACCCTATCTGGGAGCATGCACTCTCCACATGCACTTCTATACTCCTGCTGATGGCAGGTTAAGCTAATCTGCCAAATGATGCCTCTAGATATCCAAGAGAGCCATCAACCCCTTATTTTGACAGGTAGTAACGAATTAATATAGGTGATAATTAGATGCTTGGCTTCTTTTCACTATTAAAAGGAAGGAGAGCTCTTTTTCTATAGGAATGAAATGAATGTGTGTTTGCCAGAGCCAGGCTGGATTGGAATGGCTTCCCACATTGCCAAACAAAAATCCAGAGCTGTCCTAGTGAAAGCTCTGGAGGATCCCCATAGGAAACACTCAGTCACAGGAAGAAGGCAGAAAAATGCTGACAAGTGAGGCCACAGTCCCCTTGGCTTGCTGATATCAAGTGGTGAATAGGCAAATCTTTGATGTTTAGGAATGTGTGAGGTTTCCTCTCTATGAAATGAGTGTCATCAGGCTGATGAGTCTCAGATCCAAGAAATAAAGTGTGGTCACACTTCTCTCCAGAAAGCAACATTGGTTTTTGCAGGAACCCAGACAGTTAAGGTTTAGGAAGAGCCTTGCTAAAGTCTGCTGCCATAAAGACTGAAAGTGGGAAACTTTCATTTTCAGACTAAACCCGTGATATGTACAAAAAGGGATGTGTTTGGACTTTGTCCCCTACTCCATTTGCATATCGTTTCCACCTGATGTTAGCTAGTGGCCCCCCACCAATAGTAAAAGCTAGGAAGGAATATCCCAACAGCTAATTCCAAATACCTCCAGCAAAATACAGGCAACACACAAAGGATAGTCTGGAAACCAGAGAGACACAGTAGTGTGATAATAAGGTCACTGCAGACAAGCAGCGGCAAAGGCACAGTTCCATCTGTCTAAATCTTTGAGTATGCTTGAACATAATGGTGCACTGAGGCTAAAGGACTGGAAATGCGTGATGACATGCTGAAACGCACAACCTCTGTTTGCCCTTGTGAAGATTATGAGCCATACCTAAAAGCACATTGCCACAGGATCAGGTAAATTGGCTTTTATTGAAACATACTGTAATATGGGGAGGGGAGAGCTGAGGAGAAGATTCCAATTTAACGCAAGTACATTGCATTTCAGGCTCCCAAATAACTATTGATGTCTCCTGTCCTGGAGCAAATCATATCTTCCTTGACAAGTCAGACAGCTGCTCTTTCTCTATCTTCCTTTTGTTATCTTTAATAGCCATGGATTGCTGTAATACCTTGAAAAAATAATGTTTGTGACTTACTTGGTGGATATCTTGCCTCCTACCATTAGCTCTGGTTCATGGGTTCATCTAATGCCTGTTCCTGCCTACCTACAAAACTCAGACCAAATGATTTTGAAATGAGCGTGTGCTGAGTGCCACTGCACAGTGGGTACAGTGCACATTGTGTACTCCCTTTCCTCCTTACTCCCTTTCCTCCCTACTTCTGTAAGCTCCCTTTCCCCTCCAGCTGTCAGCTGGTGGGGTCAACAATCTCTCCTCATCACCCAAAATACAGTTAAGGTAGAAGCAACATCTGGAGTTCATCTGGTCCAGGCTCCTGGTCAGAGCAAGGCCAACTTTCAAGACCTGCAAGATTGCACAAGGTCTTCTCCAGCTGAAGCCTGAGTATTTCCAGGGAAGCAAATCCCACAGCTTTTTGGGTAAATGTTCCCATGTCTGTTCACAGTCATTGTGAAGAATTTTTTTTTCCATTTGTTTAAGGTACAGGAATACTGATATACAGGAATAGTAACAATTGTAAAGCAGGTCTAGAGAAAAAATGTGACTGTATTCGACCAGTTTCACATGGACTTTGAATTGAAAAGACAAAGCAAATCTTTTACAGGCTATTGATTGCCCTAAGGTGTATCAAAGGAAATAAAGAAAATGCAGTAGAAATGTCTGGGGGTGGTGATAGTGCAACTGACACATTTATTACAGAGTTTTGGCAAATACACTAATAAATAGGGTCCTCTTTATATTTCACAGTGGTGCGCACACACACCCATTTGTGTGTGTGTGTGCTGACGGGGCATTCAGCATAGAGATTGGCCCTTCCAACACTCCTGTGGGGAGAGAGGATTTCTGGTTCTGTATGTGTATTGTGCGTTCCTCCTAGCTCTCTTCTATTCTCCTTGTATAGCTGAGACTAAAAGAGAGGATTTATTTTAACCTTACATTTGTAGCAATCACCTGAAAAGAATACTAATAGAAAAAGAAATTTAGATCCCCTACCATGAAATTATCCGCCATGCTTTGTGATTTTAACAGGTCCCCAGTGGTACCCTTCCCGTGTTGGCCTGCAACTAGAACGCAGTAAGTATTCATATGGTTGAATACAGCTACCTAATGCATTACTAATCCTCTGGCAAGTTCTCCTCTTAACAATATTGCTCTCTCTATATGTGTTATTAGGTGAACTGTCAGCACTTTTTCATTAATTGATATCAATGATTAACTTATTAACTTTCTCATTAATAATGGAATCTAATGCTTTTCATAACCACTGAGTAAAAATGCTTCAGGATACAGTATACGATCAAATAATGAAGACAAGGCAGTCTGAAAACCATTTACTCACTTCCCTCACTCACTGCATTATCCCTTTCAATACTTGCTCAAGCCTCATCAGAAGATGCAACTGGCATTTTTGTCAGTACACCAGTTCTTGGTGGACATGACAGTGGGAAATGGGCTGTGTGGCATTTGTTCTGTGGGCGCAGCATTGCAGAGCTGTAGAAAACGGCAGCTCAGCACCTGGTGGAAGTTAGCACCCTCACTGACTTTCAACAACATATGTTGAAAGGGAGACACAATGCGTAAAGTGGCTGCTGGGGTTTCCCAATATCCAGCTTACTGGCTCTATTAAAAAAATTGCCATTTTATGTCTCTGTGTGCACATTCTGGATCCATCAGAACTGGAAGCAGATGCCTGAGAATACTGTGAAAATCAGTGCAGTGCTCAGATTTATACATCTGGTCTGCCGAGGTCAGGCTGCTTACAAAAGTTGTCATGGATTGTGGGCCTTTGCCCAAGAAACTGTACTCATCATGATGGTGCCACCTATAGTAAAATAGCTCGAGAATGCAAATGGTTCAGGAAAAGATACCAGTGAGAGAGACACCGCATAACACTGACTTTCCCATTAGTCTTGCAAGACAGAACAAAAAGTGCTCTAAGAAATTGTCTTTGTGATTCCATGGCATGTTTCTAATGGTCTAGATTAATAGAGGTAGCACCATAACAACTGCTATGCATTGCTGCCCAACGTCATGTCAGCCTAATGTTTTTATTATAATGAGAGCAGAATAACTCTAACAGAAATGTTACAAATTGCTAACCTGGAGAATAAGTACCAAGCCACCAAAATAAATCAGAATACAAGCTGGGCCTACACCTTGACCATTACAAGGCAGCCTGTGTGTTATGTTCAGCCTCTGAAAGAATGCCTGTTGCTCCTTCCATCTTCCCTTTCCTTTTTGTCATTACAGACGGGCCCTATTTGAAGGATTCTATTAGCATTCAAAGCCTTGCTGTTTCCTCCATCATTACATTGTATTTTACAGACCTGGGTCAGCAGGTTGGTTGGACCACAGTAAGTATGTACTTGTAGCAATCAATATGATACATCTTAATGCATAGTGTGTTTTAGCATCAAATTACTCCAGCTTCCTCAGCCTACCCTTCCCTGTGTCAAATGGTGCAATTACTTTATCAGTAGTCAAACCAGAATTAAGTGGACGGTGAGCCAAGTTATCAGTGTGCTAACTCTGACATCCAATTAAATATTAGAAGGTGGACATAACAATATTGCCTGAGGGGAAAAAAATGCATAAATTAAAACCAGTTTTAGCATATCTAGGGTTTAGATGCCTGTGCAGGACCTGTAGCCAAATGCATTAATACAGTCCAAGGCTCCTCAGCTTTGAAGTGGAAATACATTAAAAACAAAAAATGGATTTCTGGTAACCCTGTTACTAATGCAGGAAAATTATTGAATGGGAATGTCTTACTCTTTGATCACCTGAAGAACAGTTTTGAGAGAGTGGTGAGGCCAAGGATTCCAAGCAGAAGATGCCCAGCCAGGCTCAGGAGTCACAAGAATTCTGAATCTCTGTGTAAAACAGTATCATTTGCTATGGGCAGCCATGCCTGTCTGTTTTAGTTCTGCTCTCAGTTTGACTTCAGTTATTTTACTGTTAAGCAGGTGTTGGAAGGTCAGGCTGACAGGAGAGGCAACATGTTCCACTCAGATAAGGTTGTGGGGAACTCTAACCTTACAGGCTCGTCTGTGCAAGAAGGAAATGAAAGATTCAAGTCTTTCACAGCCCAACAGCAGAAGAGTTTGAAAGGACAGTGAAGGAATGGGAGACGAAGAAACCTTTCCAACATTCTGAAACAGGCATAAGGGGTGGAGCTGAAAGTAGTCTCACTACTAGTCTCACCTAGGTTTTGCTGTAGTTTGCATGTACTGTATTAGTTGGAGTAACACACAGCCCACATCTGTGTATTGGGTAATGAGATTCCCAATTTCTGCAGTGAGAAACATGAGTAAGACAGAACTACAGGTTCTGTAAGCCATTAAAGCCATTCATAGCAATGGAAAACAAACCATTAATTGTTTGCAATTCCTTTAGTTCCTTGCAAGTGTGTTTCTGCTAACTGGCATCATGGCTGTAGGACAAATGACTAGATTCTTCCCTCAGGCAGCCCACAGATCCCACCCTGCTCACATGGGGCTACAACAGGCCCACTGCCCTTCCTCAGCTGTGTCCATAGGGATAGAGCTTGTGAGTGTCAGGTCTTTAAGCAGTTTGCAAATGATATTACCGATTCTTCTCTCCAGTAGGTCACTGTGAACTAGGAAACATAAATCCCCAGGTAGTGACAGGTAGTTTGTTTCAGTGGAGTTAGAGCTGTTCACACTGTGACCTACTCATTTCAGTAGAGGTCTGTGAGCTTACCAAGGCTGAGATTTTACCCCAGTGATTCCCATACCGATTAATGCTAGCTGGGTCCTTGTTTCCCCCCCAACCCATCTCACCACCTTTCAGCCACGGAATTTCCTTGCAAAGCAAAATTGTGAGTAGTACAACCTCCTGTTTTCTACAATTAAGCAATCTGAAAGAACGTTATTTATTATCTCCTTTCCTTGTGGCTTATGTAGCCTAAGACAATAACATAACTAAAGCTTAATATCCCATTACAAATAGTGCAGTTATGACTAGGATGCTTAGTCATTTTTTTATGATTTGATCTGTGTGTACAGCAAGTTGACTTCATGAGTTTCTGAATATTCATCTTATACCATTCTGTTCTGTATTCAAAATTGTCTCCATTCTCAGTGGCAGAAATCTTCTTCCTAGCCACATCATTTAAAAAGTCAAGAGATTTTTATGATAGCTAGCTATAGCAATAAAGTTCACAGAACACTGTATTCTAACAATAGCAATTAAGAATGCATTTGTACACAGGACGTATAGTTTTACTCTTATTTTTACTGTGCTTAGAGCTCCCATTTTTCCATTTCCCTTGATGCTTTATCAGATTTATGCACATGGTGAGGGATGCTTCTGAATTAAAGGGTTGACATTTAAATAAGTGAGGCACAGAATAAAAATATTCTTATCTCATTAGCAAAATGATAACTGAGGCACAAAGGCCCACATTCAGACCTGAACTCCAAAAATAGGCACATAGAAAGACACGGCAATATGTCAGTGCTCCAGAGGTTGATACATTAGGCACGATCTGTCTAGGAGAAAACTAAGCATAGAGGTGGGTCTTATAGGGCTTTGTCACCTCACTGGAGATCACACTTGAGAACAAGACACTAGGGGTTCTGAGACTGGTTGACAAGATTTCAGCTCTAGAGGCTGGGTTGCTCTGAGGGAGGAGGAGGAGAAACTAGGGTGAGAGATTTATAGTCCTCCTCCACTGGAGCAATTGCTTGTCAATCTCTTGAGAATAAGTTACCCTTTCCTGGGGTAATGTGGATAGAAATGTAACCCCACCTGGCTCTTTTAGAAGAAAGAACACCCTCATGGCTCATTTCCAAAAAGAAATTCAGGGACAAAACAGAATCGTTTGCTTAGTATCATGGATTTTGTTAGAACTTCCTCTCTGCTCTGCCTTCTCTTTTATAAAACAAATATTACTGGAAACACATAATTTACTTTTTGCAGAAGACTCACCATTACTTTACCCTACCTGGAGGGGATAGTTGAGGTTTACTGAATGATGCTGGAGATACACTAATGAAAGTTGAGCTTATAGATCATTTCTATATACCTTTTGTAAAGATTGTACCGCCAGGAGTGTTTGAATTTCCCACCACTGGAGTAACGGGGTTTACCTTTAATCTCTGTTCAATTTTGGGCCTAAGCATGTTTGCCAGAGACATCTTCTTTTCACATATTGCAACCTATCATGTGACTTTCTGAAAACATGGCTGGCATTTTACTGCTAAGAATGCATACTGCTGCTGTAGTCCAAAGAAAAAAAGAAAAATCTTCCTGATCAAATTCAGACTTCTACTAAAGCTTCCCTCATTTGAGCAGCGATTGCAATTTCTGACTTACCAGTTTCTGTTGTCAACTTGCTACCCGGGAAGGCTACCAGAAGGATTGAAATAGAACTAAGACAACAATATGAAAACTGTGAAAAATATATTTTATCGCCAAGTCTGTGAATTTCGTAAGATTAATTCTGAAACAGTACTTCAGTAAATATTTTTTGTGACTATGATTTAAAATTAGAGATCGCTTAAACACTTTTGACTCCTGAGAGCCTTAAAATACTCAGGCTGGCAGCAGAACTGCTCCATTTCAAAGCTTCTGCTTGATTTAGAAATGTAGAGACTAATATTTATTTAAACCCAAGAACATCTTTGAAATCTGAAAATCCATGCTTTCACTAATTAGCCTGTTCCCTTCTGGATGGCAAAGTAAAATTATCATAGAATCATAGAACAGTTAGGGTTGGAAAGGACCTTAATATCATATAGTTCCACCCCCCCTGCCATGGGCAGGGACACCTCATAGTAAACCATGGCACCCAAGGCCTCGTCCAACCTGGCCTTGAACACTGCCAGGGATGGAGCATTCACAACCTCCCTGGGCAACCCATTCCAGTGCCTCACCACCCTCACAGTAAAGAACTTCTTCCTTACATGTAACTTAAACTTACCCTGTTTCAGTTCAAGCCCTTTCCCCTTGTTGTACCGCTGCAGTCCCTAATGAAGAGTCCCTCTATGTCATCCTTGCAGGTCCCGTTCAGATACCGAGTTAGACATTGTGGAAAATGATCACGCCAAGAGATCTGTGTTTTATTTATTAGTTTTGCAGTTATGTGTAGTAGGTGTACAGAGTGGGCAAGTGTATACTGTATTGAATAATTAGGTGAACCTCTCCTCTTGTGGGAAGTTTGGGTCAATATGGTTCTCCCCTCCCACTTACTGGTGCACAATTACCAGTTTTCTTCTGTCCTGTGAGTGTGAGTGGGTGGCGAATAGGGAAGGAACAAATTTTCTCTGACTGTGGCTGGCAGAGCTCATTCAGCTGGTCCTGCAAATGTAGAACAATCCCATGAAGTCAGAGGGATGAGTGTGATATGAAGCAATTAATGAGTATTGATGGGTTTGAAAAAGAGGCAGCCAAACTGCTGCAGATTGATTTTCTCCATCTTCTCTATCCTGAGGGCAGCTTCAAGCTTTCCATGGGGAACAACTTGATATGTTTCCCATAATTTGGGAAGGGAAAAAGAGACTTCAGTAACCTGTCAGTAGGATGTAGAAGTACAGACAATTATAACAGAAGAAAAAAGACAGGATTTGAGGAAATTTAAGGAGTGGGGGGGCTGGGAGTCCCAGCAAACTACTGGACCAGTGTGAAGAAGATAATGTAAGGAAACTCGTATGGTCATTGCTTTGGAAGGAATTTGGCATTAAGGTGAGAGAGAAAACAGAGGATCTGTGAGATGTGTCAGTGGAGAATGTCACTGAATGTATTTCTCAGTGACTACATATCAAAGCTTGCATTCAAATACAGCTGTGGAACAGGATCCTACAAATTGAGTAACACTTTCAGGGAATTGTGGGTACATGAAAAACTTAACAGAAGTGCCAAATAAACAGAATGTGTGATTCTGTGTAGATCTGTGACTGGCTAAAGAACAACAAAGTGTCAGAGAGAGAAAAATCCCCAAGTGGCTTTTCATTGCTAGAACTTTTGGATCAATAGATAATTTGATCATAAAAGATGATATCCAGGGAAAAAAAAAGTCACTATTTCCTCTATAGCACCTTTCACAACTACAATTGTAACACAGAGTGCCTCCATTTTATAGTTAACAGCTTATACTTGGCAGGGGTTTCTGCTTGAACACACAGTAAGTGTTTCTCTACCTTGGTACAGCTGGCCAAGTCTTGAGCTGATGCCAGTCAAATGGTATGAACTTTCAAAGCATTATAACCTTTCTCAGAGGCAAACTAAACACACACAAGATGGGTCTAACTATTTATTTGATTAAGTCTAATAATTTTCAACCTTCAGAGTTATCAGGACACAGCAGTTTGCATTTGCCTGATTTCTTGCC